GTTGTAATTATTTAGCAAACATAAAAGTTCTTTGTTCTGATTAATATATCCACATTTGTCTGGACGAAATATTTTAATAATTAGTATATATATTTTAATAATATTTTAATATTTAGTTTTAATAGTTTCAATATTTAGATTGCAATATCCAGTCTTCCGTAAGTTTCGTTTTCTATCGTTCTGTTATCGGTATCACATCATCTTACACTATTCCGAGCATTTTAAAATTTTCAAGGAAATCAAATTTTTTGGAATATTGTCTGAATAATTGCATCACGTTTCACAGCACTTCACGTTATTCAATTTTACGTAATCCAATTATAATCGGAGTCCTTAATGGCGTTATGTCACAAGTTTAACGCTGAACTTCTAGCGTTCATGAATTTCATACACATTTAAGAATTTTTTATTCCACTCTTTATTTGGAATCTCTTAGCAAAGAATAATAATCATTTATTTAAAATTAAGGGGGAAACAAATCGTCGAACACATTGATCAAAATCTAGTAAATTACGTATTTTATACTGTATAGTATATTTCTGCGGTGCAAATAAAACAAAGACTGTCGGCGAATACTGTAATAATAGAAAGAGCTATGAAGAGATATGTACGAAATTGCATTGCCGTGCAGTCGAATCCAATAATTGTTCAAAATGATTTTCCTCGAAAATAGCTTTTCAAATAGAAAAATTCCATTCGGTGTATCGATTTATTTCGACCAAGAGAAAATTCTTCTTCTCCGGTTATACTACAATTTTCCTTCCACATATTTTCTTGAAATTCGACCGAGAAAATTCTCTTGTTACCGTCTTTCACGTACCATATATATTGAATGTGTCTATAATTTTATACTCAATTTATCCGTCACACGTCTAAAAATTTATTACGCGATTCAGTCAAATGAATGATACTACTTCATGAGAATAAAGCGAGTCGCCTTATATAGTTTTAAACCTCGGGATTTTCCTGAAGACGATTTCGAAAGAAATCCCGTTGTTTCGCTTCACGATTTCTATTTTTCGTTCCAGAACCGATTGATGAAACCGTAATAGAAATTGCGGACGACTCTTCCAAATCCGAGAACAATAACACCATCTTCGGCACCAGCGTTTTCCTTCCCACGAAGTAGTCCATGCAGTTCAAGGTCATCGAAATCATGCGTTCCGGGATAACTATGAATCACGAATTCAGCGAAGGAAAGCACTTTGGACTCGTTTCAAGTTGTCCAATATATTTCATTTCGAACGAATCTCTTTTCGACTGTACGACGAACGCGTCCGTGTTTATGGGCAATGTGGGAAGACAATAAACAGCACCCAGCGGCGCCAAAAATCCGTGAAAACACAGTGGCAAGAGTCATTTAAATCATAGCAATGCATAGGAACTTGCATCGAGGACGCGAAAAGTTTCGGCTTGTTAGTGAACCGTTCGTAGAGTGTTATGCAGTGTGTCCCGCATTTTTATGCACATACTTCATACTGCACAGCGAGTTCTACGAGTAAAAAAGTAAAGCTCAAATATTAAGAATTTATGACATTGAATTTATTGTTCATTTCAATTGGTTATTATTTGGTTTATTAAAATGTTACAGAACAAAAAGTCCGTAAATGCTTTGTTGAGAAGTCACGACGAGAATAAGAAATGTGAAAGATACGACGAAATCGTAAGCAATTGAAATGAACAATAAATTCAATGTCATAAATTCTTANAAACAGCACCCAGCGGCGCCAAAAATCCGTGAAAACACAGTGGCAAGAGTCATTTAAATCATAGCAATGCATAGGAACTTGCATCGAGGACGCGAAAAGTTTCGGCTTGTTAGTGAACCGTTCGTAGAGTGTTATGCAGTGTGTCCCGCATTTTTATGCACATACTTCATACTGCACAGCGAGTTCTACGAGTAAAAAAGTAAAGCTCAAATATTAAGAATTTATGACATTGAATTTATTGTTCATTTCAATTGCTTACGATTTCGTCGTATCTTTCACATTTCTTATTCTCGTCGTGACTTCTCAACAAAGCATTTACGGACTTTTTGTTCTGTAACATTTTAATAAACCAAATAATAACCAATTGAAATGAACAATAAATTCAATGTCATAAATTCTTAATATTTGAGCTTTACTTTTTTACTCGTAGAACTCGCTGTGCAGTATGAAGTATGTGCATAAAAATGCGGGACACACTGCATAACACTCTACGAACGGTTCACTAACAAGCCGAAACTTTTCGCGTCCTCGANTGAAATGAACAATAAATTCAATGTCATAAATTCTTAATATTTGAGCTTAAGACTATAGACTAATAAGACTAAAGTCTAAAATAAAGTTTAAAATAAGACTAAAGTCTTATTTTTGCTTGCAGAACACACTCCAGATGTATGTATGTGAGGAAAAAATGCGGAACACCCTGTATATTGCAAATGTGCACAGTGCCAATTGTACAGTGTTTTTTTTTATATCATGGCGCCATTTTTCTCTGTAGCGTTTGTTGTCAGTTGTGATGTCATTACATATTGTACACTAAAAGTAACGAAATAATTACACATCACTGTCCAAATAATTACACATTGAACGCACTATTAAATAAGGCATTATGCAAACAAGTAGAAAATAATTGAATTGACAAATTAGTATCTCCATTTACTCAGATACTATTTAGCATTGATAAAAATTGTACGACCGGTTCCTGATTTAGGAACATCGAGATTTCAGACTGTTACGTTTCGCAGTCTCAAATGCAGGTCATTGCGAATCATAAAAAGCAAATAACGACGCCACCTAACTTACGAGTGCGTGCTTAAACTTAACGACTAGCCGACAATCCTCGCCGTAAACGTCCAGCTATGCACGCATATCACCAGATTTTAGGTACATCCTAAAATACGATAAGTATACACTGCCTAACAGCTACGGCCACTCAACCCACAAATAATAGTCCTTGAAAACTCCCGCTGTCTCAGACCTGCTGTATGCTGCTGACTAATTGATGTTTAGAAACAACCGGGGCGGAAATGTAAATTCCACCAGCACGCGTACACTGACGATGATAATTAACCCCTTGACATACAAAGACGTTTCGAACACGTCGCGTGTTTCTTATAGCGTTGCGCAGGTTGACGAAAAATATTGTTAAACCAGTTAACCATTTCCGACGGTTACTTCGTCTAAGTTACGGTCTACTTCGTGATGAGTGAAATCGTCAAAAACAGCTAACTGGTTAAGAAGGATATATACTTTGATGTCCTTCGTTAAATTACATATTTTATGGAAGTATCGTATTTCGAAAGTATCACATGATCATGAAAAAATGCATTGAAATGTGTATCACGATCCTTCGAGTGATCTTGAACTACGAAAATGAAGGTTAAAAAGAATATAAAAACCAATGGAAACTGGGAGAAAAGCAACCCTTATGGAATACTGCGTTGTCATAAATATCCCTGAGTATTTTTTTAAAGATCTTTGCGTCAGGGAAAATGCGAAAAAATAAAGGTAACATTTTCAAACCTTGAAAAATTTAACGCCTCCGAAGAGTTCCGCCACCAAGCAGGCGCAAATTATTATACAACCTCAACGGGTGCTTTTGACAGGCGATTTATATCGCGTTTCATCTTTGATTAATATACTACCGGTATATATGTTTACTAACACCGGATGAAGATATTGTTTTAATAAAATAATTTTTATTTAATAATTCAAATTTGATGATGTTGGTATTAATTTAGATGAGGTGAAAGTAAAAGCGAGCTAGCTTCCAATCTTTCGCAAGTTTAAAACTATGTGGCTTGTGGTATATTGCCTTCGATTATTCACGTACTCTTTTATACCTCGGTACTATGAAAGTTTTAATGCTACTTTATCAGCTTAAGTTTGTGTCAAAATCAGCTGTTATGTTCGAATTCTCTTTTGAATTAGAGTGACTGTTGGTTACTCGAATTCAATCGTGAAAAAGTGTAAAATTCGTACAATTATGACTTTTAAAAATGGTTCGGAATGAATCGCATCGATAAGTTTCGCACTGCTGAAAAGGTGAATTCGTGCCATTTTGAAATTCGCAGCTAAAAGATCTCTTGTAAAATGAAAATTCTATTTCTTAACTCATAGTGAACATGGCTGTGCAAACATCAAACTAAAATAGGGTACTAAATGTATTTTGAAAAGTCTACTTTCCCTTACGATCATTGCTACGTGAGTATATCACAAACCTAACTCGCCTATCGAAATTTTCAATCTATAGAGTACGTGCATAGAAATCATATCTATATTTGTCCCCTATTTCGACATTAACGTTCAACGAACGAAATTTTCAATAATGTTTAAAAGGAAGGCAGAAGAAATGGATTGATCAATTTGTACTCTTCTCCTATTTCAACATTAATATTTAACAAACTAGAATCATCAACGATACAGTAATTTCTCTCTAATTTGCTCTCAGATTGCGCACAGAAATTGACAATTAGAGATAAAGAGATGCGATTATTCAAGTCTCGCGTCTCGTTTTCATAGTTGTTGAGGCTTGAATAATCTTATCTACTCTTCCCAAATTGTCCATTTTTGTGCGTAATCTGAACGCGAATTAGGAAGAAATTACTGTATTTAGGAAAGAAACAGAATAAGTCAATTGAACAATCTACACTGTTCTCTTACCTCAACATTAATATTTAACAAATACAATCGTCAACAATATTCCAGAGAAAAATATAACAAGTGAATCGATCAATCTACACTCTTCCCCTACTTCATTATGAGCCTTTAACAAAGACAATTATTGAGAATATTTGAGAGAAAACAAGTGAATTGATCAATCTATACTGTTGTCCTACTTCAACGTTAACGATTAAAAACGAAATCTTCAACATCATTTAAGAGCATATGAAATAATAAATCTACGTTCTTCTCCTACTTCAATATTAAGCTTGAAGAAACGAACTCTCGAATAATGATTAGGTGAGATACGGAATAAGAGAGTTGATCAAAGAATTAGATTGCTTTGCCAACCTTTGGCTGGTACTTCGGCATGTAGCGATACAAGACACCGTCTTTCACGATGAAGTGTATCATGTCCATGGCTCTTCTCATCTGACAGAACACGGTGTCCCTGTTTTCCCTGGCCGATGGACATTCTGGATGCCTTAAGTAGGTTTTGCTCGACGTTAGCAGCATCATGGTACTCCTTTCCAGAACTTGCCGGGACGCGGCCATCTGCGCCCTTCGCCGTTCGTCTTTCAAGTCGTTCTGGAATTAGAAAGCATTGCCTCCGTTTATTTCCACTGTTACATTTAACCGCCGACCCTCGGATGCTATTTTGCAGCGGGGAACCATGGCAAATGGCGCTTTTACCGACCATGCGGGAATGCGATTACTATGCCGCCGGTCTTCAAGTAATTTCAAGGAAACACGAAAAATTCAACAGGCGGCTGCAATAAAGAGGCAGTCGGCTATACTTTCGGGCAGCTAGCCGCAATTTTGTGTAATTCATCTTGAAATTACTTGGCAATCAAGGTCACCGTTTCTAATGTACTGTAAATTGAGGATCGACTAATATCTGTGTCAGAGAATTTTTATTCTGAATATGTAGTATATACCTTAAATAATATTTAAATATCATAGCAGTCTTGTTTTTTTACTTAAACTAACAATAAAGATGATAAGTTCCAATTTGCGTATCATTTTCTCCACAGTTACGATGACTAGAAGTTTCTCAATTGTAATAATTTCTAATAGAAGTATAAAATGAAAATAAAAAATATAAAAATAAAATTAATCATTTCGTTGACAGAATACAAACAGTTAAAGTGAAATGTTAAGAAGATTTACTATATCCAGGAGTATGTAACTTGTTTCTTAATTTTTGTCGGTGGGCGTATGTCGATTTCTGCCACATGTCGCAAAGATCAACTCATTTTCTCTGTTGTAGGACGTTAATTTTATAAAGACAGTTTCTTTCTTTTTAAGTTTGTGGAATTCATATGGATGCTGATGCATGATTAACACCTCAAAGAGCAAGTACTTACACACCACAAGCGTGAAGATGAAAAGATAGTTGACAACTTACTTGGCGATCACCCGTTAGATGTGCCAGGTCCACCATTTCCGTCCCGAACTGGCTGAAAGCTTTCACGAATTCGGTGAAGTTCGAGACGTACTCCAGCCGATCAAGGATGGTGGCCACCTTGTCTTTCGCACTGAGGAGTTGATTGACCACGACGACATCGGCCACCAGGAGGACTCTCGTCACAGAGCCCAGAAGACACCTGGCAGCTCTGATCACCGCGCTCCGATCGGCTAGGCTGTCGTCCATCATGCATTCGCATAATTTTTCGATCGCCGAGCCTGGAACATCATTATTTCTCCGTTAAGAATGACACATCTCATTGAACTGCGGGTTTTTATGGACGATAAAAATTGTCTGCGTTAACCCTGGAACGATCAAAGTATTAGAGAAGGTTCAAGGTTCGCTGTCCGTGCGTTAAGTAACTTTACGAAAACGGTTCTGCATCGTTTTCGCTCTGAATATTTGCACATTAATAATTTACTGTAAAACTGTGCACATTGCCTTGTGAATCCTACGAAAGTTAAATGAGCGGTGACGTGTTTGTCGAGATTAACAATTAAAGTTCTGTGTCAGTGTCTCGCAGACTTCAGAGTTTCAAGGAGCAGGTAAACATACGATAATCTGTTAACATTGTTAACAAGATTCGCGGTGTAGCTTGTGCATAGTTCATCGTGGAGTCAAGGCTTGTCAATTTAGAGCACCACGATTAAATTCCACGAACATCGAAATTGTCTTACTTATCGATTAGAAACCGAACGTTTATAACGCGAATCATAACAAGGTTCGTTCATAAAAAATCGTGACTAGAAACAAACAGTAAAATGAAACAAGATTTCACGCGATCAGCGCAGAAATGTTAAAAAATGTTATTCATTCCACGGCCATACGTATGCATAACAATTTAATATTTACGCAGGATCTGAAGTTCAATCATTTTCGTTCGATAGATATGAGTTTTTGACATCGCAGCTACTGCACGTAAAAGCGAGGAAAAAGCCGATGTGTGTTCCCCAGGGTCCCATTACACAGACAGATATTGCATCCGCGAATAAACAAATACGTAACAGCAATAAAACGTGACAACGTTTAAACTGGACTATTTGTTTGGAAGCATGTACACAAATGTTCACAGGACGCGATATAGTCACTGTAATTTATTTCTTTGTAAGTGTTTCAAATAGAAACTCTTCCAAAAAAAAGAGACGACCTAACCCTGATCTGTATGCTAGAAACATCATTCACTGTATTTTGACAAAAATACCGTGACCAAGGTGTCGGAACTTATTGAATTTCGAGAGTGAAAACTCGTCGAAAGTTTTCATACATCTTTAAAAGATTAATTGTATATTTTATTTAATATTGAATTATATAAAAGTTAATAAATAACTTATTTATATACAATTAATAATTATATATATATATATATATATATAGGTTATATATGATTATAATTACATAACAAATTTATTATATATTATTATACCTTTATATTGAGTCTTTTTGAATGTGTATTTATAGTTCAATTGTATATAAATATATATAAATCTTAGCAAAATATTTATATACAATTAACGAAATAATATTAATATTATATTTATTCTTTTCGGTAGGTAAATTACTTTGGCGTCTGTAGAATGTTCGTGGCTGCCAAATCGACAGCCAATCTGTCAACGGTGAGCGAAAATAATTAAAACAAATCAAATCCTGAAGCAACGCCGTCGACTCTGTCCCTTTGAGGTTAAACGAAACCGCGATTGCACGTTTTTCGATATATTTTTATCAAATGCAAAACTGCAAGTTACATTTACATGCGATTTTTATTATATGCAAAATGTCTATGTAAATCTCCGAATTGCAGGCATTATGATATCGCTGCTTCGCCTGCCTCTGCTATACGGAAGCCCCGTCTCCAATGCCATCGTTCCCCCGGCAATCGAATTTCCTTTCATCTTTCACGATGAATATTTATCATCTTACGGAATTGCGTTGAACGTGTGACCAAGAATATTCAATATAGGCGGTTCGATTTTTCACGGAAAATTACGCACGATTCCTCGGCACAGTAAAAACCATATTCAATTTTTCCGCTGGAACAGTTTTCACACATAGATATCGGTCCTTTTTTCAGTTTCGTGGGTCAAAAATATTTCGATAAAAAGTCAGACGCTTTAGGCAATTCTAAAATTGTTTAACATAGAAACAAATACGTACATCCCTAGAAAAAAGTTTCTACTTTTACAAACAAGAGAATAACAATAATTATATAAAATTATCATTGTTTCATTCGCTGTTTTAGTAAATAAAGAGTAGCAAGCGATACCGTATTGAGAGAGAGAGAGAGAATTCTGTTATTTCTCATATTCTTTCTATTGGGTTTTTATGAAACAACGCAATTGTAATAATAATATAAACTTTATTATATTTATAATATAATAATAACATTGTCCATAACATTGTTGAGATATTGTTTAAAGTGTGCACAATTTACTGTATAATCGTTGAATTGCAAATGACAACTGAAGTTCCATGTTATACGGTTCCATTAAATATACGGAATATGCAAAGTGGGTACAGGTGTTCCTCTACAATAGCGTGTCAAAACAATACCCATAAACAGCCTGTGTAGGCGACTATAACATCGTGCGTCCTCCGTGGAATTCTGTTCATCCACTTACTTCGTGTGTATTTTCTTCATCGTTTCTATAAAAAGCGAAACTTCTCTGTGCCACACAAAATATTGAACCATCAATTAAATTACGATAGAATCGACCAACCCGTTATAAAAATGGAAAAGTCTCGAGGTGAATGTTTATGTTTTACATGAAAGTAATTGTCATTTAGGATAAAAATTAAATTTACATGCAAATTTATAATAAAAATTAAACGTATACGTAACGTCATAGTAATTTTGTAATTGTAATATTATGTAATTCTATGTAAATTTGTCTATGAATTTAATTTTTTGTAACGTTGCATATGCATGTACTTTTTATTATGGATTTGCGTATAAATTTAATTTTTTACTCTGAATTTATATATATGAATTTATGTTTTATTAATATATGTAGAACCCATATATAAAATAATAATTTTTGTAAAACTGTTTAGATTCAAATTTATAGTAAATTTATATAAATTAGTATATAAATTTAAGTTTTATTATTTTGTGTAAAAATATACATATATAATTATAAAATATATATAATATGTAATAATAAAATATATAATATATAAGAATAAAATACCATTTGTATTGGGCCTAAAAATTTTCAAATATGGGGTTGTTGAACACCAAACTGGAACGTTGTTTTCTAAGTAATTAAGTAACACGAACGAAGCAAATAACCGATAACTAACAGTAAAATAGTTTATCTTCACATATGTATTCACATTTGCATACAGAATGGATCGTAAATTATGAAGTTTCCATATTATGTAAGTTTATTCATATCACGAGAAGCATTTCCGCTGTTTAAAGAGATTTCCTGTACCTAGATTGGCCTGCCTTTAATCTGCTTTGACTAACAACCAATTAATGCTGCGTGGTCTGCACTTGTAATATTTCTCAGACTTAAATCTTCACGCTACTTTTTAGACTTCTATTATCGTTCGCTTGATTTTAAAAGCTTCACCATTTCAGCTTTTATCGAACGTGCGTTCCCATAATACTAAAAGTTTCAAAACAATTAATGGTGTTCGCGTTGCAGAATTGCGGAAATTTGGTTTTGTTAGACGTGTCTGGAGCTTCGGTGATAAATAAAGCCCAGGCACACATATCCATACGACACCAGAATGCCATAAATCGTCTGATTTTGATCTCGACTGGAAGTTCCGTTCCGAAAACCGCGAACGTTCAACTGTATATTCTAGATTCTCTCCTGTCATATCTTTCTCTCTTGTACTCTATCATTCGGTGCAGATTTACTTATACCTTTTTTTATGGAAGTGATGTTCATTTCTAGATTGCGGGATGTGTCGGCAAGAAATTTATTCTAAATAGTTTGCCTGACGAGTACGAACAATGAGCGTTTTATTTTCTATTTATTTACTTTTATGGAGCGACCATTTAATACAAATACACCTTATATTTGTAGAACAGCACGAGGAAAATTCCATCAAAGGAAAACTGATGTATTAAAAACATGTAGCCACTTTCGAAATTTCAATTGAAATTATTTGAAATACCCCGAGATCGAAATATGCTATATTTGTAATAACGTGATCAATATAATTTAGGTCACCGTTATAACATTTATTAGAGGTACAAAATTATTTGCGGAGGTTCAACAATTTCAATATGAAGAAAATAACGCTCGTTAATTCTTGATGAATTTAATGAGATTTAAAGTTACAAGATTGAATTTAAAATGGCTCTGAGCTGCACTTGTATTTTTCATTAACATGTAATTTCGTATTTCATGATTTCATTTAATAACGACGTTACACAAACTAGCTGATTTCTCTCCAGCCATCATTACTTTCATTTCAATTTAAAACATCGTATCAAGCCAAATTACATTCATTTCGTTTCTTACTTTAATATAGCAGGAATGAAAATATTATAATTAAACTGCAGATCTTTGTGCAAAATAAAAAGTGTCTACATAGACACTTCATAATTGACATGAATTATGAGAGACAGAAATTCAATTTACATTATCTTTTTATCATTTTAGTACGCGCAATAAATATGTGTAATGATAATAACAATTCCCGGTTTCGTTCACACCGCAATAATTTAATTATTTATGGAATTTCAGTCCCTCATTTTGGCAGCTCTCCTCGAGCAAAATCCAGCTCGAACTTCGATTCCGTACTTATTACGAAGTTCAGCCGGATCGTACGAGTTTAGAACTTCATATGTCATCTGTCCGTAAATTCTCGCGCTTGTCAATACCGAAAAATAAAGTTCCGAGACGTCTCACGCTTCTAAGAGGAAGTAAAATGTCTTTCACGACGGTGGACGAAACTTTCAGGGGTAGGTATCCCAGATTTCCATATAACAGAAATCTCTTGCGACTCTTCTCGTCATTCGTGTCATTCGCCTGGTTTGAGAGCAACGCATCTATTGTGCATATTTGCGACGAAGAGTACATAGACGTAAAGGATAGAACTGATATAGTGGTTGCCTCTAAAAAAGTATAGTAAAACAGTATTATAGTCTTGTAATTGTTTCTATATTAATTAATATAGACACAATTGTGCAGACAGAGGAAAGGTACATTTTTTGTTGAAATGCATTTGTCACTTCAGTTTATTTTAATATTATATGAGTTTA